TTGAGGTTTTCTGACCATGTGCTTTTTTACCATGGTTACTATGACTCTAATATGAGAAGCTGGATATTTATTATAATCCCATCCCAAACTTTCGCCATGGCTTAGCTACCTGGCCTTATAAAGGAGGAAAATATAATAGAGTAAATTCTGAGCCAGTGATTTTTAACCTGGTCCACCTTCCAGTGACCTGCCACATGCTCCTTACTTTATAGACATCTGGGAATTCCATACATGCCTTAAACTCCAATTACACACCTTCTTCAAAGGACACGTGCTTTGATTTGCTAAGAACAGTAAATGGACTCACTTCTTGAGGCCTTGAGACAAAAGAGAATGGAAAATGTATCTCCTGCCCTGTTTACTCCGTCTATTCTTTGCTGTACAATAAATACGGATAATTAATAATTCTTCTGTTCACATCTTCGAAGCTTGGTTTGCAAGTAAGTGTTATGAAGTTTCTGAGAAACAGTAGGGTTCTGATCTTGAGAAATTATGAGGAAGCGGTTTTCTACTTCCACTTTGCTGGTGCACTTTCCTTCCACTTTCTCTGGTGCTGGGGGTGGGGCAAATTTAAGGAAGCAGTCAGAATTTCTAGAAAAGTGGCCCCTGGGGACCCCTCTCCCGACCCCGGTAGGTCGCTAATGCGGATCGTCCCTGGAAATCTAACGTTGGGCCATTGCCTGAACCTTATTGCTGCTGCTGCCCCGCTACTGCTGACACTTGGCGCCACCGCCTCCCAGCAGCGGCCAGACACAGGCCCCGGCAGTCCACGCTCTCCGAGGAGGGCACAAACACTGTCATTCCCCCACTGTGCGGGCAAAGCCTGCCACCCACGCAGGGGAGCCTGGGCCTGCGCTGCCCCCTCCTCCTCCCGCGCCCGCCGCAGGTGAGACCCCTGCTCCCCACGGAGTTCTGTTTGGGTTTCCGTGGCATTTGTTCCCCGCAGGTTTGTTTGTTTTTCTTCAAATTACAGATGCAGGGAAAACCGCCTGACATCATGAGAGCGGGACAAACGCTCACTTTGAAGGATTCCTGGGCAGAACTTCAAGTGAAATCATATGCCTGAGAAGAACTTGATACCGGTCTAGAGAAAATAACCAGTTCTGAGTTTGCCAAACCGTGGAATGTGCAAAATGCTCTACTTTTTTGCAAGAGGCCAAGTGTCCCTTAAAAAGCCCCATTATGATTATGAACCTGAAAGCTGTAGGAACAAGAAGCATATGCCGTTATTGAATATGGTAAAAAAAAAAAAAAAAAAATTAAAAAATACACATATATATACGTTGTGTGAGTTTATGCTATTTAACATTATTTTATTAATAATATGTTCTGATTTTGGGTGGTGGGGGAAGTACCTGCAACTGTGCATGAATTATCATCTGTCCATGTATTTAGCAAGTGTGTGCACAAAAGAGGGAAATAAATGACGGATATGAAAACAAAAAATGTACTGATTTGCTATGACTGAAAGCTATCAATTGAATAAAATTAAAAACAAGATATAAATAGTATGTCCAGAGTACAAAAACTATTCTTACTTAAATTTTCTTGAATTCACCAAAGATAATTTAATACACTTCCCAGTGAATCTACTCTGGCTGAAGGACAAAGACCTGGCGTCCAGGCATCACATTCAATGAAAGTTTAGCGTCTCACTTTTGAAACAGAGGTAATTCATTTTATGTACCCTTTACATGAAAGTAACAAAAATAAAAGTGAAAATAGAAAATACAAATGGCCAGAAAAAGAAACACAGGTGGCTTAATTCCTATCCTAAAAAGATAGCATTTTCCTTCATTTGTATGAAGGAGGAGCTTGGGAGCACAGAAACTGTCTGCAAACTGAAAATAGTATTTTAAAAACTAAGATTTTAAAACAGGAAATCTCATTATATGAAGTAAAACTAGTCACCACGTTTCTTTCCTTCTCCTTTTAATTCTGAAAATTTGGAAGAAATTATTACCTTCACTTTAGTATTTAGTGTTATTCAAAACAAGTATGTCATTTGCTTTTCTGTTTCCTTTTATGAAGAAAAAAAATAAAATAGGAATACTCTCCACCCCCAAAAAGGCCAATGGAAGGCCATCTTTCTTTGATATCTCTAATTTGTACATTAGCAGGGTTACAATATAGATTACCTTCTCAGCAATGATGGTCAGCTCCATCCTTGTGCACAGCAAGAAATCTGAAATATCAAATAGTTAGACCAAAATGTAGTGAACAAGGCAATTCTCCCATGAACATTTCAGGAAAGGAAGGTTTTTATAAGACACAGAAGAGAAAATGATCATTTCAATGTTCTCCTTCGTCTTTCTAGGGTACCCTCTTTGCAGATCTTTCCTACAGACAGATAGACAGACAGACAGACAGACAGACACACACACACACACACACACACACACACACACACACGTAAACACATACAAACATACATAATCCATCACACTTGTTTTCCATTTGTTTGTTCATTTGTTAAAGGACTATCAAAATCCAAAAAAACATTTGCCCAAACTCTAATCTTTTACTATAATGCTGCAGGCAGCTCCTTATTGTAAAATATGGTCTAAACTATGCACAATATACATCCACAATATTGTTATGTCAGCATTCTGTGGTGGTGTGAGGAGATGGAACAAAAACCTTAAGGCAATCAAATAATGTCAACCTGAGCTAAACAAACACTTTCTATTTAGATAAATATACTTGTCATAGTCATTGTTTGAACTACACAACAAAATAGTTTTAACAGAGAGCTGCTGATTATATTTGAATGCATAACACTAAATGAAAAATCAAAGCACTAATTAATACAAACATCATTATTTTTAATCCTATTAATTATAAAAGCTAGGGGTTTTTTGGGCCCCAAAACAACCAGAATGAGATAAAACTTAAGTATCAGTTATCCTTACTGTTTTTGCTTAACTTCCATCAAATTTTAGATACATTTAAGTAATCAAAGGATATTTCTGTGCAATTTTGGATAAAAATATTTGCCAGTGGGTTGACTACACACTGAATCCCTGAAGCACTTAAATTTTCAACTGCTACAGCGTTTACAAAGGATACTGAAAATTCAGTCTTTGTTTATTGTGATTTACTCTATGACCGTACAATCTTTAAATATAAAGAACATGCTTCCCAAATGGACAGCATCAATATAAAGTAACCTGTACTTTGGTTTTACTTTTTAGCATACCTGACCCTAAATGTCACTGTCATTCACAAAAAGATTTAAGTAGATTACAAATAGAATTGTTGTCCCCAAAGAATTAAGCATCATTATTTTCCATGTTATTTATAATCATTCTTGCAAATATACACAGATAAGTAGGTCTTATTTTATATACCCTCTCACTGAAATGAACTTATTTAAAAATCTTTACAAAGAGTGAAGAGTAAGACACAAATATACAGAAACAAGAGCTAATAGAGCTGGTGTCATACTGGTTATTTACATTTAACTGTTCTACAACTATCACCCCAAAATATAAAGAGTGATAAATCACAAATTTGTTAAGTTTTTGTTGTTTGGAGACCTGATAAGTAAAAGATGGAAATGCTACCAATTCCACTGAATGAACACGGAGTTCGAATAATAATAAAGCTGTCCTTTAAAATAACATGCCTGTGTCTGTCAGTAGCTAGTTTATTTGAGTTTTTCACTGCTTTGTTTAGATTAGTGCCCCCTCCCCTCCTTGGAGCTTCTACAATTAAACAAGCAGGTATTTGCCTCCAATTTAACCTTAGGTTTTAAATTATAGACCAAACTCTAAAGTTCTTAAAATTTTCAATCATATTTATTTATTGCAGAAAAATAATATACAAAGATATTTACAAAACAACCATAAAAATATGAATGCACTTAGACACCGGATCTATTTGCATTTACCATGGGTCATCAATAAATAAATAGAGTGTTGTTTTTGTATTTTAAGTTTTTTTTTTTTTCCTTCAGAAGAAGAATGAAAAAGGGAATTGACTGACCGAGTTTGTAGGTCAGTTTGACCCCAGAATTTTTATTTATAAAAATGTTCTTAAAATCTCCTCCGATTAATACCATTTTAAAATGGAGAAAGTCCATAATGATGCCTTTCCTTTCAGTGGCTGATTGGCACAACCTCTTGCAAATGCATGCATGAAAAATAAAAATAAAAACATTCTTCGTCAAAAAAAAAAAAAAAAAAAAAAAAAACAAAAATAACACAAACAACTGTTCAGAATGTCGAGGTGTGAGGATGGTGCTGCTGCCAGTCTGGGAATCAGTGTCCACAGGCCTGTCTCACTTTCTGTTTTATAAGTGCGCCCCACGCCCTGTTGCTTTGAATTTGGGTTCTGCTCTTCTAATTTCCAAGAAAATCTTTGGCATGTATATTTATTTTAGTTATCCAGCTCCAGAGTCTCTAGACTGTCCATTTTCTCCTTCTCTGGAAACAATGACATCTGCAAAAACCCAGAGAGGGGGGAAAATTGGTTATTGTTTAGGTCTCTGGCTGTTTTCTAAAACTACTTAGCAATGTTAACACCACTACGGAGAAAATACTCTCTGAACAACCTGGAAGGATTTCAGCCCAAGGGCAAGAGGAAGTGGGTGGGCGGAAAGGAGGAGGAGGTGGAATCTGAAAACATTTGTTTTAAGAGAAAAATGGTAAAGTCGCCGAAAGAAAGGGAGGCCTTGGCTACACTAGCCTTACCCATGGTTCTTGAGTCTGTCTTTCACGCACACTCAGAGACATGCACACGCCTCACAAGGGCTCATATCACCCAGGGGACCTCTCTCCCTAGTGGATGCTGAATTGCCTTCCAAGGACGCTTGGGAGGTAAGGGGTCACGGTACTAGGTTGGGTGGAGAAGGTGGAGAGGGTAGCGGGAAGTCAAGGGGATGGTAGACGACTTGAACAGGGAAACCGCGGCCTGGATGTCCATCCGTCTGCCACCTGAATGGCGAAGGTCCTTACCTAAGTCTCTGGCCCTGCCGAGGGGGTGGGGGGCTCCGCCTGCTAGTGGGACGCAGACATGGACCAGGCCCCCTCCATCCTCCAGACTGAGAAGGCGTAGCTGAGCCGCTCATGGGCCACATAGCTGCAGCTTGCCATCTTGGAGTCCAGCTCGTCGCTCTGGAGGACCTGGTAGAGGAAGTCGATGTACCTGGCTGCCAGCTTGAGGGTCTGGATCTTGCTCAGCTTGTCCGAGGGCAGTGTAGGGATAATCTTCCGCAGTGCGGCGAATGCCTCGTTTAAAGACTGAGTGCGCTGGCGCTCCCGCACGTTGGCCATGACCCGCTGCGTTTGCAGCTCCTCGT